GTCCGTGCAGATTTTTCTATCTCATGGATGTGACGAAAGAAGGATCCTTTAGCAACATTCTTATTTGGGGTCCATCAAAATTACCAGCTTTTACTTCCTCGTCACTAAGACCACTAGATTGCTCTAAAATACCTGAAACAATCACCATCTTTGTTTAAAGCTTTTCCAAATTGTTTCATCAATACAAGCTTTACATGAAGAGGTGGCAAAATGATCCGATTCGGGTCCACCAATGGCTCATTCACACTATTTTTTCTCCCTAACATTGAAACTGTCCCTCCTTGGCCAATCTTTTCTAATCCAATGTTCAGCTTTGTCTCGGCTATCCCATAAGCATAAAAACAAGGAAGTCTGTGTACCCGCTGTGCTGTCCAAGAAGGGAACTTACCATTTTCAAGTCGACACAAAATACCCATTGGTGCTCATCATATTGGATCTCTTCTAGAACTACTTTTATGTTGTCATACTTTTCCTTGAGTGTCACTGAATGTCCTATTGGAATTGAACCATATTTATTGCCATCTTTGAAATACTGTAGCAACATTTTTTCTCGATAAAAAAAAGTTATTTTTGTACGGGAATCTTTTCTGAATGGAAAACTGGTCTTATTGTTGAAGAAAGGTTTGGTATTGCAAAAGTTTTTTTTTATTCTTTGAATTGATACCAGTAATACTGACAAAGAAATAACAGTCGTCGTTTTTTTTTTCTCTCACCATACCATTGGAATACCAAACTTCAAATCTTTTCTGTCACCTTTGGGCCATTTTCAACACAGGATCGACAAACTGGAGCCCATGACTTGCCTTGATCAAGTTTGATCTGAAAGTAGGCATAGTAAGCTTTTTCACAAAATCATTAATGCACTGCACACACAGATATTGGATTTCATTCAGTAAAAAATGTGTTGGGCGGTGAAATGATAAAGGGAATAATGATAAGGATGATGATGATAATGTTGAAGATGAAGATGATGATGATGATGATGATGATGATGTGATGGTGATGATGACGACGACGACGACGATGATGATAATGATAGTGATAATGATGATGAAGATGAATACGATGATGATTATGATGATGATGATGAAGCTGAAAAATGAAGCTGAAGCTGAAAATGAAGAAGATGATGATGATGGTGCCAGTAATAGCATCCGCAATGATGAAGAAAATGTCGATTTCAAGTCACCCCGGAAATTTGATACAGATCTCAACTAGCTGCACCAATCCAGCAATTTCGCTCAGTATTTTCGCATAACAATACGAATCTGGCGGGCATACCTGTTAATTTGAAATGTGGTGATGTACATATTCTTTTATTTCCATTTCTATGTATTTATGGCTTTCGATTTGAATGTATACCCGTTTTGATAATTTTGGACAAGTTTACCAAAGCAATACGTTTTCTGTGATATTTTTAGTTTTAGATATTCATTCGTTTTGATGATTTAAGTATACCGTTTTCTCAATATGACATGTCTATTTGAGGATTCTGTCATGTCATAATTTTTTATTGAAATTGCGATTGTGTTTCGATTTAGACGAGTTCACCATGGCTCTCCCTCCGTTTTCTTTAACACAAGTCTAGCCTCACCCCGTCTTAAGCATTACCAAGGCATTTTACATCATATCAGTGCATATAGTTAATATGCTAATGCTTATCTCGGTTGCTGAGATGCATACAAGTCGATTTTTATTCATAACTTAACGTCCGATTTTATTTCCTGTAATTCCTCGATCGGAATTTCTCCTTTAAAGTGTAAAGTTATGAAATATTTCATTCACAAGTTTGCGTTTAATAAGCATGTCAATACTCACAGGAATGAACTAGGTGCAATTGTAATGGTAATGCCACTGATGGTGAATCGGATATTTTTAACGATAATCATATTGATTATGGAAACGGAAACATGAAAATTATTATGATGGTAATAATACTGTTGTTTATGATAATGACAATAAAAATAAAAACAAAAACTGTAATAATCATGACATGAGAATAATGGGGACGATGTGAATGATAACAGTGATAATGACAGTGATGATTATGATG